AAAAAATAATTTTTGCCCAAAGTATTTGGGCAATTTCGGCTACTAATAGAAGCAGTTTCGACCAGAAACCTTAACCAAGGCCATGCAAAAATGAAACTGTGCCTACCCAGATCTCTGGGGCTCACAATAATCAATTACAGTTCCTTATGAATAATAAATCTGATGTTGATCACAGGGTCAGATTTAATTGAAATTTCCTATCATAAACATGCAAGCATCATGCAATTGCACACCTCAAACCATGAGATTTTCCATTCCTACAGAAGAGGTAAATTGAACATGTTGGAAGGCTTTGGACAAAACTTTTCTTATCCTCCCCTCAGACCAGGCTAGCTGTTTCCATACAAGCATTGACCATTGACAAGAGTTGGCATCTGTATGATATACCTCTCTAGAATAAAGTTGATATCTGCAACTCAGGAGGTTGCAACCTGGGTTGTTGCTATTTTGGATTTTCCCTGAATTCAGAGTTTTGAGTCCTGAGTTGCTGTCTGGTCAGTGGCATGCCTACTCACCAACAACCCTACCCCCATTTATTTAAATAACAGGTTCAGTTTGCCAAATAAAAATTAGAGAGAAACAGAAAATTTGGGAAAATGATTAATTTATACAAAACATACCAAAATCTGAACCATTTTATAACTTTTTCCTTGTTGGCCATATTGCTGACAAAGATATATATAATCATGCAATAATTTTAATCTATAGGACAAAGGACTGATTGGGCAAAAACCTACCCAGTCCCATACTCAAAAAATTATAAATTGGTTAGTGTCAAAAAAAACAGAGAATTTTATGAAAATGATTATACAAACAGACACTATTTTACAACTTTCCTCTTGACACCAGAGCCCAAATGCAATTTCAGGGTCACCTACCCTTCTCTGAATTGTGACCTCCTGGTGCTTGAAACAAGTTGCAGATTCTCATTGCTTTGATGGATCTGGATATTTACATGGCACTACAATTCATCAGCAGAGTTGCAACTTGGTCATGGAGTCATCCTTACCCAAATGTGGGATCGTTACAAGCAACTTTTTGTCTAGCATGCCAGCAGCCATCTCTGGTCTGGATGCTGTGAGGGAAAATTAGTGAAAGTGTCATTGACAATTGATGCAGTCTTGGTAAACTCCGGGCATTGCTTCCCACCCCTGGAATTCTGTAGCATCATTGTATCATTGGGGGATCAAGTCAGATTAGCCTTATGTACACAAGGAAGATGAGAGAATGACTGTAAAGTGTTCAAGGTAGTGTGCATGCGTGCTTCAACACCTGTAAATTTCTGATAATCAAACATTGCATATCCAAAATGTTTCTTCTGTAACAGTCAGTCATGCTGCCTTGACATCTTCTTGTAATTATATAGTAATATTAATTATTAACGATTATGAAAAGCAAAATATTATCAATGAAAATCTTGTAATTACCCCAGCAATGATCTGCTCCGCGTTTTGATTCCAATTAAAATATTTATAAGCTAAAATAAAAATATTAATACAAATTAAAAAAAAGTACCTCTCATTGCTGTTCACAATTACCAACCTTTTATACTCTCTAAGGTTGTTCTAGAGTTTTTTCAGCTGGGAATATGTGCAACTTATCCAACGAAGCAGTTCAGCTCATCAGTTAGTTATTAACACATATTCTTTTTAGAGCCAAACCAAACCAAACAACAACACTCACGTTTTGTCACCTTGGGCTCTGTCAAAAAAATAAATTGTTTTTTTTGTTTTTCCAAAAAAAAAAATCAATCAATTCACGTCTGTCCTCCCAAAAAAAAAAACTTCTGAGTTACCTACATATGAGATATCAATTGATAGTCTGGAGTGTTGTCATGTAGTCGGAAGAGTAAGATTTTTTGGAAGGATCTGCTAGATATGTGACATTAGTCTTTGAAACTGATTATTATACATTTGTTTAACTAGGTTGCAAGTTCAAATATCAATGAATGTGAGTCATCAATAAGAAAATTAAGGAAAAAATATGGCAACTCAGAAGATATTATATTAGATGTTCTTTATTCAGTGTAAGCATTTTCATGATTGAACATCCCATATCATTTCCATTTTGACTTTTCTTACATATTTGCACTTTCCTCATCATGCTATAGTATCAAAAATTTAGAAAATAAGACAAAGAGTAGAAAAGAAGATACATTTGTGCATAACAATATAGAACCAATGTTAAACTATTTTTTTCAGAATGGCAAATTATATAGATGTGAATGGTAGGTATCTTAGTATTATTGGCATGTTTTGTGGCAACAATTACTGATCATACCAGTGTGCTATTACCAGGTCAACTACAGTCTTAGAGGAATCAGCA